TCTCTCTCTCTCTCTCTCTCTCTCTCTCTCTCTCTCTCTCTCACGCGTACAGACCGTGTAATTCCGTATCGTTTGGTAGTATTGTATAAACACTTCTCGACCTCAAAGCTAATGCAATCGGTTTTGTCAGTCGAGTAAAGCCTATACCAAACGCCGCTTATCTAATTAATAACATAATAAATGACAAAACAATTATAAATCATACTTTTAAAAACACATACAACTGTTGATATAATAAACTCCAAAAAAATATACTCAACTCTATTCAAATCCAGTGACTGTACGGCCACGCGTTGCGTTTGGCGGCGATTTACTACTGGTCGCGGCGGTAATGTCGGGGCCGGGGGTTGAGTAGTGGGCGGTAGGGGCGGCGGGGGTTCGGTGTTGTCCACAAACTGGTTATCAAATTCCATAAACTCCGGTATTGTGGTCTGAATAATAGGTGCCGCCGACGTGGTAAACACCTCGGGCGATTCAGTAGCCCCTAAGTTAGATATCGATAAAACACCCAATTGTACATTAGTTAATTTAACAAATTGCATGTATGTATTACTCACTTGGATTTTTACACCTAAGTTGTTTGGGATCGCATTGGCAGCCGTCCCGCGGTATGGCTCGCAATTGGTTTGTATTACGCGTGAGACGGCTCAGCACTTGGCGTATGGTCTCGAGCTCGGCGGGTATCATCTGCGGCTGACGCGAGTATACCTTATAGTTTTCTAATGAGCATGAAGATAACAATTTACATTTATAGGTAAACAAAAAACCCGCATTGCAGACACGGGGGTGGGGGTGACAATTGAACATGTACGTACCAAATATCTGGGCCGGTCCCCCAGTTTTTGACTCTAACCTCATGCACTGATAAACCAATAGACTATTACGATTGGGTAAACCGGTGTCCAACACCCAAAAACTGGTCATTTGTCGGCCGACCGTAAGTGTCATTTTATTTGTGAACGAGGCCGCCGTTTGGGGCGCGAATTTGCGTAAATCACCGGTGAACGTGTTGTTGCAATCGTTGCTAGATGATAATAATCAAGGTATTTAGTTTAAAAAAAACACTACCATGGGTATTGAATGAAAATATTTAAACGCATACAATTCATTGAAGTCGGCGCTGTTATCGTCGACCACCACCAACTTTAGATGAGTGCACCGTTTGTCAGATACTAAGCTAGTGTAGAGTTGGTACCAATGGTCCTCGAACTACAAGTGTTTAAAAACAACAAACCATAAAGGTAACAACAATCTGGCATATAGGGTGACCAACAAAAAACTTACCTCTTTAAAGTTTATATTGCTCATGGCCTGTTTCTCAAACCTGCGGCACCGGTTGGCCGGTGGCGGTGGCTGAACGCTGGGGGCGGCCGTTGTCGGCGCCGGTGTTGTTGTCGTTGTTGTTGTTGTCGTTGTTGTCGTCGTCGGTGCGGCGCAGCCAGTAGTGGCGACTTGTGGTGACACGGGCTCCATCAGCCAATCATCACCAAAATCAAGTTGCTGCTCCTGTTCCTGCTCATTTTTTATCACCATGGTCTGCTTAGGCTCTGGCACCTGTGCTGGTGTTATCGGCTCGGGTATTGGCTGCAATACTGATCCAAAACCGTGTCGATCCCGTAACGACGCGTACGCCTGTGGGATCTGTTGCTGGTGATGTTGTTGCACTTGTTGCTGTTGTTGTTGCTGGTGGTGATGGTGTTGCCAGTGCAGTGGCTGTTGATGGAGATGTGGCTGGATATGTTGATTGATCAGTTGTTGTTGATGGTGTTGTTGTTGCTGCTGCTGCTGCTGCTGCTGTTGCTGTGGGAAGTGTTGCAGCGATGGGAGCGATCCGAGTAGTAAGGGCTGCCAGGGTTGCTGGGGTTTCAATGTGGGCAGGGGTTGTAGGCCAGGGAACTTTTGGTAGGGCTGGAATTGCATCGATTGTTGTTGAGACTGCATTCCCCACTCTATGGCGTAAATGTCATGCATTTATGTAAATTATATTAGATATTAATTGCAATAATTGTTTGGTGTATACATACGGGGCTGTAGTTGTATTTGGGGACAGTTGGCGATGTGCACCGGGTGTATCTGTATCTCAGCCGATATGCCTCTCAACAACTGGGTAACTTTCTCGAGCTCAGCCCTGTCCACACATTTGCGCGATAATAGCCGGTAATATTCTGGTCAATTAAAAACAAACACAAAAACATGGTAAACACACAAAACATGATAACACCAATAATGAACAAAACCTTGTGTCTGTTTCTGGCCATCGGGTGCTACAGTGCGGCCGCACCTGTAGGTCAATATGTAGTCCCTATAGTCGGTGTTGAGCACCCATAGTGTGTTGCGTTGGTCGCCGATCACCAACTGTTGCCGCTTTTGGTCAATATTTATGATGAAACCGTTGGTCACTTTGGGCCCGGACCTGAAACGTGGTAATTAATAACTTATTAATTTATACGCTAATTGTGTGTATTGTGTGTATTGGGTGAGGTGGGGGTGAGGTGGGCGAGGGTCAGTGGGTAGGGGACAGTTGACTTACGTGAACATAATGTTTATGGTCGCGGGGTCTTTGCGGCTGTAGTCGACCGTCGAGCCCGGCGTGTCCTCCACCGGGTCGGACGTGTAGGCTATGTTCCATATGCCGGCGAACTATTGACCAAAAAAAGATCATGGTTAAAATGAGTTATGATGGCTTAATTTATAACACAACTCCACTTAAACTCCAAATGGCTTAAGCCTTGAGTGCATTTCTACACATAACCTAACATGTAACATTGGATTACAGTTTTTACATTCATGTAATTATCATGCCTAATGTTGAACTTCATGAATGTTGCCAGTTTATAAGCATCAAGTTAGTAATAGTCTCAAAAATTGAATGTAGATAATTAGTTAATAATGTACCTTGTCGTAATCTACTGGTGCGACGGCTAGGTCATCGAAACGGCGACATTTACCAGGTACAGCTTGCGATGAGTGAACAATGACCAGGAGTGAACAAATGAGTAGATGATATGTATGTTTTATAGATGGTAAATTTTTGAGCATAATTGGCATTGTTAATTCATTATCAATTTAAATAATAATAATACACTAGATGCTATAGTTAACCAAACAAAATGGTTAACAATTAATTATAAATTTACTTTTAATTAAGTAATTTTTATAAGTATGGGATTTGTATATAGTTTTTAATTAATGTATTAAATTACTGGTGAATATGTTTTTTAGTTCCTAAACTTAAGTCTTGCATTTTTAACTGATTCAAACATGAAATAGTTTATTTTGTAAATAGCAACCTAGCTCATTTTTAATTCTCAAATTAATTAATTCTTTATCTTTTTATTATTTAATTGTGAAAACAATATTTAAATAGTAATCAAAATTTTTAGTAGTAAAAATTAACCTATTATAATAAGTTTTAAGCTACAACCGGCATTGAATGTTCCCAAGTATACTCTGCATTGAGTTTACATAGAGATTCAGTTGGAATTATGAGTAATTGCTGGTTACTGGTTTTAAGTATTGTCAATTTATAAAATTAACTTTTTCTTAAATTGATTGTATAATAAAAATTTACTTACATCAGTAGTTAACAATTATATTTCATTTTAATTCTATCGTTATATAAATCATCTCTCTCTCTCTCTCTCTCTCTCTCTCTCTCTCTCATAACTACTGATGTAATTAAATTTTTATTATACAATCAATTTAAGAAAAATTTAATTTTATAAATTGACAATACTTAAAACCAGTAACCAGCAATTATTCATAATTCCAACTGAATCTCTCTCTCTCTCTCTCTCTCTCTCTCTCTCTCGTTGTTTTAATTGGAGGTACTTATAAATTGAATGCAAAATTTCTGCGAAAATATATTTTATAATTTCAAAATACGTCAATAATATCAATACAATTACATTAAACAATAAATACAATAGTAAATAGAGTGAATAAAATGTTATTCATAAAAATAAATACAACATTTAATTTTCAGGGACAGTTGGACAGCCTTTGTATCTATAATAGACTGTTAATAGACTTTTAACTATTTAAAAATTGTATATATTTTCAAAAACAACTAAAACCTATCATTAAATGTCTCAATAAAAGCCCAGTTAAGTTTCAGGTCATGCCTAACCGCTCAGGTATTTATTTATTTACAATAACTATTATCATAAGGAAATATACAGGTATTACACCTATTATACTGTATATTGGATACATAGTGTGTATATATTTATGTAATGATTAGCTATTATACTGTACACATTGTATGACAAAAAGTTGCATAATATTTGTTGTTTCATTTTCATGAATGTAAAACTTTTTTTTAATGCATTTCTAAGCAATCGGTTGTTCAATATTTTTTGATTGCTATTTAGGTTTCACTTTCATTGATTTGTAAATAAATTAAAAGTATTTATTTTATTTGTATTTATTATTTATTATGTCTTTTCCTTTGCGTATATAAAATATTGTAAGAAAAAGTAGTTTTAATTTCTTGTTATTTAATAAAAGTTTGAACAAAATTGTAGTTTTGTTGTAATTTTATGTGTTTTTACTTTTAATAAATCTATAATTGTTATTAAAAATCGTTAGTTTTATTTTATAAATTGTTTAATTTAATAATTATATTTAATAGTATTCTAATATAAAATAATTTCCACAAGTTTTAAAAGTTTTAACCAAAAAATCATTTAATAATAATAAAACACTTCATAACTGGTATGAAAATACAAAATTCATTTATTCCTAAACTTTATAAGTAAACTAAAATTAAATTAAACTTAAATTAAACTTAAATTAAACTTAAATTACTCTTAAATTAGATTTAAATTACATGCCAAATTAATTCATGAAACATAGATTAATTAAAAAACACAATAATTGCCATAAATTTGATTAAAATACAATTACCGGTAAAAAAATTCATTACATAAATACAAACAATCAAATCAATCAAATAATAGCTGTTTTAAAACACAACAAAATTCATTCACAATTAAATTCACCACAAAATACACAAACAATCACTTCTTCTTCGACTTCTTGGGCTGATTTTGAGACAACTCTTGGGACAACTCCTGAGTTTGTCGATGTAATTGATCCACAATATTGGCAAACCAGCCATCAATGGTGGGCTCCACTTGTCTGAACACGGGTTGTATGAAACGGGTATACAAGACAGTGGAGCCGTTGTTGGGCACCGGCGCCAGACACCAGACCAGGAACACCATCTTTGCCAACCAATAGAATGGTATGATTCGGAACAGATAGCCCGAGAAGAAGTCGCCCACAGATATGAACGCGAATACCACCCAATATCTGGCGCACCGGCGAGAAGGAGGGTAGGGGTCAGTGGTTAGCAAATGAATTAGTGATTGACAATCATGTTTTGTAATGATAATTGTCTGTTACACTAATGTGTTCTGATTTTCCCGTGGTAGATTTATTTTTATAAGTTTTGTTGACTAATTAACTAGAGTAGTACTGTAATTATTGTGCATTTTGTAAACTGATTGTATTTAATTTGGTTGAGATTATGAGTGAGTGAGTATGAATGCATGAGAGAGAGAGAGAGAGAGAGAGAGAGAGAGAAATATTATTGACGTATTTTGAAATTATAAAATTTATTTTCGCAGAAATTTTGCATTCAATTTATAAGTACCTCCAATTAAAACAAAGAGAGAGAGAGACTGTTTTAAAATTACTATCAATAGGATAATACAAGTTGCCACTATGTATACTTTACCAGTATACTCTACATGTGTATTATTATTATGTCTATTACTCTCTAACACTGATAATTGATAACTAAAGCGCTTAATATAGTTTTTATAACGATAACTAAATATAAATTAGTTTTAAAAGCAAAGTTAAAAATTAAATTATCAATTTATTGACATGAATAGACACTTTTAGCTACACATATAATGTACTAAATTGTCAGTTAATTAACACATGCATACTATGGTTATATACTGTAGATCTAACCTTAAACAAATACAACCCTATGCTAAAGCAATGAGCACTTCCCAAACTTTATTACAATTTATAAGTGTTTTATTTCAATATAAAACAACCATAACTTTATTATTATTATTATTATTATAATACTTATACAATTATACAATGAAACTGCACTAAAATAATTAGCTAGCAACAATCATATTTACTACACTATAAGCGATGAGGTGGGCTATAAATATTGTATTTTATTAAAAACAGCCTCAATAATTATCTAACACTTTTTTAGTGTACTGACAAAGTACTGTATGTAAAGTACAATACACTAAATATACGTATACTGTATTAAAAATTTTAAACAATTTAAATGAGCGTTTCAACAGGTGTTTAGATCTGAGCGTTGATCTAAACATTGAAAAAAATAATTGCAATTATTTGTTAAAACTATGAATAATTACAAAATATAAATATAACTAAAATATAAATAGATCTTAAAATAGCTAACCAATACTCTTTGACAATCACCTAGGTCAGGACTAATTAATACACATGCTAAACTAAATACGGACCATGAAGTCCAGAAAATAAGGTTTACATTAGGATGTATAATTATTTCTAAATGTTACATAGTACAAAGCTAATTATGCTAGGGTAAAGGGTAACAATACCTTAATAAGTGCTGAATGTGTTCAATAGTGCGCTCGTCATCGGGCGGTGCGTTAAGGGCAGAGAGGGAGGCGTATGCCGGGTACGCGAAACCGATCACATTGCAAATGAGCTGGGCGAATTGGCCAAATATCATGTAGGCCACGAACGAGATCATTACGACGTTGGCCAGGTATAGCCGCGACACACCGGTCAACACTTCCACTTTGGCCAGCGTTCGGGTCACGGGGTTGTCCTCCCGGCGCAGGTACTCGTCCAGCCTTTCGGTGAATTGTTGCACATAAGTCATTGTCTTTTAGGCTAGTGTTGGGTCTATGGGGGTATAAAAATGATCATGGTTAGTTTTAAATGCAAAATTAACTTACCATATAGTGTACAAAAAATTTTGTCAAAAATCACTGCTATAGTGTACTCACAGACAATGCTGTTTAGGTTTATTACAATGCAGTTTGATGATGAAAAATCTAGATGGTATTATCTAATGTTGTTTTTAGTTACAGCTATTTTATGGCACTTAAGTTACATAGAGTTAAGTAAAGTACACTGCATTACAAACACTATAGCATTGACAATATTTTTACATGATAAATATTTTATACAATTTTTATTTTGTGAAGTACACAATTGAGCGATCGTATCCTAATACAATTTTATATCAATATGGTAAAATTAGCAATGTTTAAATTGTAAAAAATATGGTTTACCTGGTGTTAATAGGTGTAAATAATTAGTTGAGATCTAGTGTGAGAATGATACTGGTTAAATAACAATTAAAAACAACTTAAATATTATGTTAACATAAATAGTGATGTTTAATAAGCAGTTAATAAGTGGAGACACAATACAAATGTGTGCAAAAAATAATATTATTTTCCATTGAAAAAGTCTATTACACTCTCTGTCTGTCTGTATATATCTAATCAGTTTGAGACAAACGACATGTGATATCCAGGAGAGAGAGGGAGGGAGGGAGGGAGAGAGAGAGAGAGAGAGAGAGAGAGAGAGATTTTCTCTCACTTTAAATGAATTAAATTTTATAAGAATTACGGAGAAATAAAAGGTATATAATATTTGATTTGATTTTATCCATTACTATATTTCACTATATTTTTATAATATACAGAAATAAGAAGTTTTCATTGAAATTCAATGGAAATTGAATTGGAAATACATAACCAGCCGTTATATTAAGGTTTCTGTAAAATGAAAACTCAAATGTGTTTCAAAAAAGTATATAAAAATATAATTTTTTGTGATAACAATAGATTCATGAATCAGACGTTTATTGAATATATAAGGAGAGAGAGAGAGAGAGCTTATAAATGAAAAAGTAAACTTGTTTATAATAATCTTATGTTGAGAGAGAGAGAGAGAGAGAGACTACATATACTGTTCAATTTGAAGGGAAAGGGGGAAACTTATAGCAATTAGATAACTTTTATACAGTATAGCACCCGATATAATTAACAACTTGTACTACACTATTTATATTAGCTATATTGTCAGATTATTTGCAAAATAAATTACAATATTTAATATTTTGATTAATTGTTGTTATTATAATTAAACAAATCTATTTATTATTGACTGAAAGTTTTATTTTGAATTTTAACAATCTATGTAATAATTTAGTTTATTATATCGAGTATTAAATGTAGGCATAATTAGTCAGCAATTATTATTTAATAAAATAATGTTGTATTAATAGTCAATACATATCTACTTATAATCGCGATTTGATTTGCATTGCAGACAAAATACAAACTTGTAAACTGAAACTTACACAATTAAATCACCAATATAAAATTAACAACATTTGATTTAAACTTGCACAATTAAAACTAACCACGAAACAATTTATAATAAAAACTTCTTTGTTTGATATATTAATACAAATCAAATGCACAATAAATACGTCAGTATTTAAGGAACACTTTTTATTAAATAAAAAAATGAAATATTTTCCCCTAAATCGCGAGAGAGAGAGAGAGAGAGAGAGAGAGAGTGAGTGAGAGTGAGAGATTTGTGGGGTTAAGGGTTTTTATATAACATGGTAATAAAAAAAGTATATGTTGAAATGTATGAAGTAGATTTACCCGGTCATACACCTTTACAATTACCTTGCATGTATAATAATTTACACAACATTAGTTGACCAGATTGGTTGTGAGCGCACCAGGCTCATATATTAATAATACATTATAAATTATTAAATAATTAATAAATAATCTACTGGTGACTAACTTAAAGGGAAAAGTAAAACAATTTTCACTAAAAGTCGTTAACACACGTAACAAGACGTGTACTAATAAATAGTAAACTTGTTTATAATAATCTTATGTTGAGAGAGAGAGAGAGAGAGAGAGAGAGAGGCAGACAGAAAACAGCAAAAACTACTTCAGAAATAAAAACGTAAAGAGAAATCAGAAAAAACTTCAGTCATATTAGAGTCCAAACTGAATGTATATATAGTGTTGTGTTTGATAGTGAGGTAAAAGTAGTGGCATTTTATAGATTGGGTCACAAACCATACCATCAATATTATTCTGGAATCGGTTTAACCAAAATAAGAGAGAGAGAGAGAGAGAGAGAGAGAGAGAGCATCTCAAACTATAAGTGAAGATATTTTTGGGCTCGTTTTTTGGCCAAATAGTCATTATATATAAAAATACATGAAAACACTATTCAGTACAATGGCTCTGTGGACGAAGACATTTGGGTGAAGTGCACCACAAATCGTGGTTAGTATTTGAGAGAGAGAGAGAGAGATCGCAATCATTTGGAAAGTGAGTGCGAAAAGGCTCTAACATTATATCTCTCAACAGACGAATGCCATAAAACAGTATTTTCGTCCCTTTTCTTAGCTCTTATATCTTCATCAGTAATACACATCACATCTTAAGTATAGTCGAGAGAATGAATAGACAAAAGCATTAGAATATTATCGAAAGTGTTAGAAATGATACAAACGTTGACAAAACAATGACAACAGTTTGTCACTAAACAAAAAACAGCAAAAACGACTTTCCATTTAATTTCTATGTTATTATCTGTAAAATAATAGTGAAGAATAGGATTTTTTATATAAAAATTAAAGGAATCGAGGGATTGGATCAGAGATACACTGAGAGAGTGTGGGGGAAGACAATGAAAATAGTTTGTCAAATTGGGGGTTAAAATAATGAAACAAAAAAAGTTCACTCCATATATAGAAGTCATTGCATTTCAAATGTGTTTTTCGCGTTTTGGGATAAAGAGATTTATTTAGGGGTTTACTCCGGAGTCGCAGAGCAGCACAAAATTGGTAAAATGCTTAGAGATGTACAGCTCATACCAGGGATGCACTCGAGTATTACACTCATAGAGAATCGAAAAGAGAGAGAGAGAGAGAGAGAGAGAGAGACTGGGAAGAGAGCGTTGGATAAAAAGTATAAAACAAATAAAACGGTATACAATGCGGTATAACATGAATCTTAGATTAGGCACAAACTCTAGTCCTAATATTAAGTCAGTTATACCTTTAAAATCCTTTTTCAACAACATATGCATAGAATTGTGTGAAATGAGAGACTGTTTATAAAGACAGATAAAAGTCGAGAGAGAGAGAGAAGCGAATAAAGGAATGGAAAAACATGTCAAATAACAACGAAAAACATGCAAATCTCTGGGGAAAGAGTAAACCGACGGTACGGATAGAGCACACAAATGGATGCAAAAAGGCATCACAAAAATAAAAGCCAATATTAGACACGTTTATGTAGTGAACAGAGAGAATACAGAATAAATGCATCTGCAGTCGAGAGATAAGACATATACTGCAGAGCTATAGCACAGGCCTTATAATAAGTGAGTGAGTGAGAGAGGGAGAGAGAGGTTGCGAGAGAGTGAGAGCACGTAAGACAAGAGCAAAATATCGAGAGTAGAGAGAAAACAAAAGAGAAAGAAGAAAAAATTCGTTAAAACTCTCGTAAGCAGTGATAATCTGATAGAGGAATCAAAAGCAAAGAGAGTGAAAGTTGTGCTCAAAATTAAGATTATATACAATGTATAGCATGTGTGAGGAGTGAGTGTCACCTCCAATATCACAGCAATACATGTATTTCACACGGGATTAGGTGTTAACACACACACAGTCACAACATTACCGTCAATGGAGTGTTAGTTCATCACAAACATCAAAGGGATTGCAAGTCATAGCTGTATATCTCTCCGTCAATGGCTATGATGTTTGGACTAATTTGTAAATTAAAATGAATGGTTAGTCGACTACTGGTGCGGACAGTAAGGCCTAAACACACTCTCTGTTAAGTAATGACCGGTTAGGAGGAGAGCGCAAAACGCGGACAATGAGTCACTACTCTTGTGATTAACCATTAAATTAGAAGATATGGGAGAGGATGGAGAGGATCACCAAATGGTAGACTCTATGCTATTGTGATCGACACATACGAGCATCAAATCTCTATCAAACATATAGCGAGAAAATAATTAGCTCTTCATATGAGCAGCTATTATATGGATTGAGAATGAGGTCCAGTATTGAAGGCAATCACCAGACAATTAATGTCACGATCGCTAACCACCTGATGACACATTTATATTCTTCTTGAGCTCTCCATTTATTGTCCGCACTCTAAACATAACCCCAAAAATATAGAGGTCCAGTATTGAAGGCAATCACCAGACAATTAATGTCACGATCGCTAACCACCTGATGACACATTTATATTCTTCTTGAGCTCTCCATTTATTGTCCGCACTCTAAACATAACCCCAAAAATATCACTCATTTTATTTGCTATTGAAAGAAGTCAGTGATCTATTCGTCGGCTCACGTAATGGCAGTGTTGAGCAAAAATTGCAAACAAATATGTGATACCAAAGCCATCGTCGCATCCAATTTGAAATATATTTTTTACTTTTACACTAATAGTGAAGAGCACTGGACAGACACCGGGAGGAGTCCAAGAGTCAGTATTTGTTAAGCGCTTGTGTCTATAGATTTTAGCAAATACTCTAAGAAAATAGCAACTTTTGAATCCAATCTCTCTCTCTCTCTCTCTCTCTCTCTCTCTCTCTAACAAAACATTTATATCTATGGATAGACTTAGAGAAAAGGGGAGAGAGAAAGATAAAATCTGGTGGAATTTAATTCACCCTATTTTTATCATTTGTAGAGGTCCAGTATTGAAGGCAATCACCAGACAATTAATGTCACGATCGCTAACCACCTGATGACACATTTATATTCTTCTTGAGCTCTCCATTTATTGTCCGCACTCTAAACAT